ACTGGGGGGGGGGCTCTAGTAAGAGAAAGATAATGACTTACCATTCGAGTTACCTTCAATTTTTCTTTACGAACATTTGTAAGCTGAAAAACAACAACTTTTCTTTTTTTTACAATTTCGAATACATATCAGTCTTATAAGATCCAGAAACATAGATCTCTGTCAAACATGCATCCCAAGTTTTTCTAAACTAAAGATTGCTTTGCTGCCGTCCAAAATTGTTTATGAGCTTTACATATTCTCTGCGACTCTTTTATAAACTGTAGGAAAGGTGAATTTTTATCTAGTAGGAGAACATTTTTGAAGGTACGAAAGATGTAAATGAAGCACAATATCGAACTAAGGATTGTAATATTGTCATCCAAGAGATTACCCGTTTATTGAATTTCTCTGATGGTATGAAGCAGCAAAATGCCACTTCCCTGAAAGCCACAAGTATAGAAATAATGTCATATTTCTTATCATCTTGAAAAGTTGCTAGTACTAATAAACCTGAAAATTTAGCTACACGGCAAAAGAAAAAATAATAAGAACCTGAAGATAAATGTAAACTTCATTTAAATAGAAACATGCAATTTGTTCAAACTTTGCAAAATGGCGAGAAAGAAATGCAAATAGAACAATGACATGAAATTTAAAATATGAAAGAAACTCACGGCTATAAGTTGGTGTTTAGGACATTTCTTGGACAATATTCACTAATGGAAAAGAACTACGAAGCCTTTGCACAAAACAAGTAAGTTGAAGCAAACTGGCTGTTATTCTCATCATTTACTAACAATAAACCTTGTTAGCAGTCAAGAAAAATAACTTAATTTGAAATTCCAGACTTACACAGTAGAAAACAGCGCAAATAAAACAAGATAAATTCAGAGGCTAATGTGAATCCAAAGGTCCATAATTGAATAAAGAGTTTGAATGCTAAAAAGTGACAATTTTTGACGAAACAAATCACACTTGAACTGAAACGAAACGAAGGATTTAAGTATGAAATTAACAAAAAATAAAATAAGCAAAAAATTTGAAGTCTATTCATTTCGAGGTAAGTAGTATCATATATTGTCTCCTCGGTGGGATAGGGCCTTACAACGCTAAAATCCGGGGTTCGATTCCCCGCAGTGGACACAGAAGATAGTCCAATATGGCTTTGTTCTAAAACAAACGAATAAAGATTTATATAATTTACACCATGTACAGCAAATCAGTATAATTTCGCTGTAAAAACAAGTTTTATATAATTGGCTGATGTTTGTGTACGGAAGCACATTATGTTACTATAACAATAAACTGACAGACAACGATTTAAAAGGCTAATGAAGTGGTTTTATTTATGTCAATGTTCTGTCGAAATATGTAATATGTTCCCCAAAATAAAATCACTACATTATGCTTATAAATATTTCGTTGTCTGTCAGTTTATTCTTATTGGCTGATGTGTAATGATATAGATTCTCAAAAATGCACACAACTATTAAAAAGTGACACAATTTACCAAAACTATTCACAAATATATAAAATACAATAATATCAGTGTTAGAGGTGGTGTGAACTTTCGATTGTTTTATCTCATTATATCCACTTTCAGAAACTATCAAGGCCTGAAGTGTTTTTAAAACAGTTAGTTTACTATGCACGTATACTCACTGACAGATACCGTTTATCATCTGTAGAAACATCACCTACTATTGGGCGATATATGTTGGTATATATATATTGAACGTCTTAATTTTTATGTTGATCCTAAAGAAAATATAACACGTGTTTGGATTGTCATGTCACGCGTAATTTGTCGAAAATTATTGGTTTTTGTGGTTAAACAACAAATATTTCATGAATAAAGTACGATATTACAAAACTTACCTTCCTTTAGATGGTCACGTAGCTGGTAGCTCTTAACGTGTTTTGAGGGTTTGTTTCAAAGAAGGCAGTAAGTAAATATTTCAAATATTTTCTAAAAATACGGCACGTAAAAATATAAGATGCGGGATTTTCTTCAATAGATGTTTATTTTTTAACCATAGTCAAAAAACAACGTTTTTCTCTGAACTCACATCTATGAATTTGTTCTCCTTTCATCAATGTTTCATTCTATTTCCATTACGCTTAGAAAGAGACGTTTGTTTTGAGCATGCATGAGAAGCACTTCAAGTGACGTTTCTTTCTACCGAGGTATGTTCTACACTGCCCGGATGTGCAGTCATAGCAACCGGATCAGTCCGGAATATACTGTTTAGCGTCAACGCAGATGCTGAACTTTTACAATATCGACTACATTTCTGCTGAATGATAACAATAAAGTATACTCCATTGAATTATTAACTTCGAGGAGAAACAATTCTATATAATACAATGACATTTTTAACTTCGAGCAGACATAATTCTTCCAATAAATGGGTAATAAATAATAATTTTTCCAATTTATATGAAATTTGAAATATATATAATACTTCAATTAACTTTATAACTTTATTTTGAGCTGTACACAATAAGCCAGATACTAAAAATAGTATTAAAAAATTTATACAACAATTCTTACTTATTTTTATGGCCAGAAATATTTAAAACATCCCTAAACGTATTTTTCCACCAGCTACTTACGTACAATTAAGTTCGTTGAAGTATCCATACATGTTATCTAATATTTAAGTCGTATATTATTTACAATAGAACTTTTACTTAAAATCTTCAACTTATTATTCCATCTCTACATATTGTGAATGTTAATAATAAGAATAAGAATAAGTTTAAAACCACCAAATATTAATTATAAAGATCCAAAACTCCAACAATACTGTTGAGATATGTGAGATAAAAAATGTTGAAAGTCTTGGAAATATCAGTGAATTATTTTGAATCGACCAGTAAAATGTTGGCAAAGTTTATAATGATATATTAAATATTAGACAATTTAGTTGTATAAATTATTTTATCTAATAAGACCACTGCTTTAAATGTTATAAAGCGTCTTTTCTGATCATCTTTATCATCAAACTTATACTTTACGACAAATCTTAAGCGCTGAGGTACTCTTCAAGTAACAGTGGCTCATAATAGCACAGATAACTTATTGTTAAGCTTTGCAGTTAAATATAAACAAACAAACGTAATATTGAATTAAAGTTTAAAGAAGTCAAATAGATTAAGAAGCAATTTTATTTACGAATTAAGAAGTTTTATATTTTAAACCCATTTCACAAATAATAAGGAAAAACACGAACGTAATTACACGAACCATTTATTAGACGTTTCTGACTATTCAAAATTCCATCTTCAGTAAGCTAGAGGTACAAAAATAAATAATGGTAATTACATCAGAAATGTGATATAATCTGTAATAAACGACAGTAAAAGAGAATAGGAGAAAATAATAAGTATATAGCGCAAATGAAATAAGTCATATTAGAATAGATTTAAAATAAATGAAGAATGAGTATAATATAAAGACGAAAGAAGAGTTTTTAATAAATGTTTCATGTAATTACGTTAGTACTTTTTTATTATTGAATTGCAATTTCACAAACTAGAGCTTGCATTAAATACTTCCATTTCGAAAAATAAGAAAATATAGAAGCTAAAAACAGTCATGATCGATTATCCTTCTACTTATAATTTAAATATTCATATATGATTGAAGAATAAATTATTTAATTAATATCGCCGTTGTCAAAATACTACTACCACGCCCCCTAGTGGCATAGCGGCATGTCTGCGGACTTACAACGCTTAATTACAAACAATACTACTCCCCACTTGAAGTTCCCTGTTTAGAATAATGTTTAATGTATTTCTTCGGCAAAACAGTTATGAACATATTTATCACATTAAAGTTTAATGGTTTATTTATCTTTATCATCCATCAATCTATATTATGACTAATGGGCATAAGTAATGAATGATTATCATTATTGTAATCAATTTATAGTGAACTTTGAGATCACATTCGCAAAATATTTTATAAATACAGGTTTAACACTTTATTCCTGATATATATATATATAATACGATATCCAGCACGTTTACGTAAATCTAAAACAAAAACTCTATCATTTTATGAACCAGTCAAGTCATGATATCAAATAAAAAAGCAGATAGTACCGAATTCAACTTAACTCTTCGCTTATGAATTTTGTCTTATCACGAAAACATTTTAGTTCTGTTAAATTATTTTAATTTAATCTTAATATTTGCGATTTGTTCATCAAATATTATAACTAAAACACAAGTTCATAGATTGTAATCTTTGAATGGCTGAGTAAATCTTTAAACTTGAATTAAGTAACTTGAAAAAATAAATGTTTAATTAAAGCTATAACTTATCTCTGTGGTATAAAATAAGTTTGTGGAACTATTGTATAAAATGATAAGCAGAACGAATTTTAACTATTCATATTTGATACATAAAAGGTATTTGTGAAGGGTTGGGATATTTGTTGGATGACATCAAATTAGAGAGTGAAAAACTTGAAAAGCATAATTCAGGACGACAGTTGATCTTTAAACTAGGAGATTATTAGATTTAAATATATTTCAATAAGAAATAACTCCCGAAAATTTAAGAGTGAATTTATTCGCAGATTCTCATACTACAAAACGAGTATTAAAATGAATATGAAAATTAAATGATATATAAAATCAAAAAGAGAAGAACCATGGAAGCTTCAATGACTTTCAAACAACATAGATATTGATTGGTTGTATAGTAACCCAGAAACATGGTCTACCCACAGTAAGTTTAATAGCAGAACCTGTGTTAGTGTGCATAGTTCTGACAGTTTCCACACCTGTTCTGCTGTAAAGAATTTTCTGTAATTTAAGATCTACCGTTAGTTTCTGCGTAATAGTTCTTGATATTGTTTATCAGTAATAGAACTTCAACTGGAACTTATTTGTAAGATAGTGATTGTTAATTTAAAAAAATATATTTATTGTAACGTGCCACACAAAATAGCAATTTTTTGATACATCAAAAAGTAGTGAGGTAGATCCCATTATGCTATGCAAAATACCTGATATATATATATAATTCCAATACCTTATAACTGGCAACCATACATCTGTAATTGATTTCTATAACACAACCATTCCTACCTTACACAAAAGCTTCCTTCAATATGGCCTTCTACTTATTTTCACCCTTTCGATACGGGATACGGGTGAAAGGCCATGTCATCTCGTTTGTTGAATCGCATTCAAAATTTTATTGAACTACTATTTCAAGAACTTATGTCAATAAGTTTGGTACAAACTGTAGATTATAATTCAGATTTTAGAGCTATACATTACTCAATTTGTTAATTTAAAAGTAAATATTAAGAAACACAGATAAACATCGATTTTTGTGCGTCACGTGGTATGTTGAATGCAGCACTGGTTCAAATTAGATGTTTGTGAATTCAGAATACCAAGTCTATAGTTTCATACGAATTAGAAACTTAAATTTCAGATATTGAAAAGTTAGAATATAAAATAAGAAGGTCTTATGTGATAAATCAAACATAGTGGCACCCCGCCCACATCTTTCCATTTTTGGAAATGCTCCCTTATATACACTTATTTTTATATATGACATGAATAACCAATCAGAAGCTTAGAATGTCCCCCTAGTGGTTTTCTCAGACTTTATAACGTTCCTTCAGCCATTTCTTTCTTTTCAATCGAGTCTGCTCGAAATTTCATACTTTTTGGACCCAACAACTTAGTTACTAAGCTTGACAAATTATAGTAGAATTGTATGATATTTATGATTTTTTAGTTATCAAAAGTATATGTAAAACCTAAAAAAAATTAAAGGCTAGCAACCTACATTAACAGCAACCCAGTGCAAAGGTCGTAATTAGAAGAGATAATTGTTTTCTTTACTTCTATATTTACTGTTCTAGAAGAAATAACTTTAAGAACTTATTTCAAAATAGCAATAATCTATATACATAGATATAATGTATAATAATTGAAATGTGACTGTATTTTACAAAATAATAGTCGACTAAAACACAGCCAACACAAATTACATTGTACAGACCGAAGGTCACCTTCATGTTATTTGATATGGTAACATGAATGCACGTGAGCCGAGTCGTTGTAACTTCTGTATTGTTAGCTAGACACGGGTGAAAGGTCAATATAATAAAAATAATAAATATATATAAATGTATTATGTTATGAGATTTAAGCTATTTCGTCTAAACATTTATGTTTTCATGTTATAATTTGTATTCATTCTAGAATGAAAGAGGCATAATTTATGTTTATTTCCTAATTTTGTATGGTAGTTGCGAGATCGGTCAAATTTACCGAACCTTTACAGTTTGTTTGTTTGTAATTAAGCACAAAGCTACACAATGGGCTATCTGTGCTCTGCCCACCACGGGTATCGAAACTCGGATTCTAGCGTTGTAAGTCCGCAGACATGCCGCTGTGCTACTGGGGGACCGAACCTGTACAGAGATTAATTACTGAAAATAACAGACAAAATATAAAGTTTTTTATTAAGAAATGTTTGATAACTATCCGGACATTATCAAGATTTTGCATGTGAAATTTCAAAATTTTTCTAATG